GTCGGTCGGTAGGCGTCGAGTCCGACGTCGGTCAGTCGGTCGGTATTCGTCGGTCAGTAGACGTCCAGTCCTTCGTCGGTCAAGAAAAGGAAAGTAACAATAAATATAGTAACAAAGAGTAACATTCAATAATAGGAGGAACTGAAAGACAAGTACTGCCAGCCAAGAAAGAGAAGTAACTGAAAGCGGAGTATCAAGTAGTTAGAGCAAAGTTACAAAATTAAGAAACGAAGTAGTACAGACAATAAAGGAAATAACCTGAAGTGTAAAATAAAGTTTTTACAGCAATAAAGATATGCAAAGTAACTGGAACGAATCACAAGTAGTAACAGGCAATAAATGAAAGAAACAATGAACGTTGAGTAACAAATAGAAAAAGTCAATAAATGGGAGTAAAATGGAACAACAAGTAGTAACATGATATACAGGAAAATAATAAAGTTTACAAACAAGTAGTACAGGCAATAAAGAAAAGTAACACATACAACTCAAGTTACAAGTACTGACAGTGATAAGGAAAGTTACTGAATGTATGTCCCTAACCAGTTTCCCCAGGCCCGTTGAGCGTGCCACAGGGTACCGCCGGCCAGAGATTCGTCGTGGGTTGTCGTCAGTAGTCTGCTCATCGCCCTCTATCATCAGCACCAAATCACTCTGTCCACATGGTCCCTTTGATCTGTATTAAAACAATGGAAATATTTTACAAGGGGGGACAACTCAACCAAAACTACACATATACATAAGTATATATTACATATATATATATTAAGATATAAAGGTTGGATTCAGTATTGAGAAACATATCGAAATAACTTTTCAAACTTGAAATATGGTAAACATGGCAGTACTCGCAAATACTGAACATTCTACCAGTTAATTAACATGGCAGTACTCGCAAATACTGAACATTCTACCAGTTGATTAAAAAACAAACAAACAAAAACAAAACAAAAAAAACAAAACAAAAAAACAATCATTTCCCATTGTGTGTGTAAAATTTGCATTTTGATACGATTAGAAAATGGAATTAATATCAACCATACGACCTCTTACGTGTGAATGACTTTGATTGATGAAGGTTTTACAGATTGTACATATTTCTCTTTGTGGAACCCATTTCAATACTTTCAAAATGTGAATTTGCTGAAAATACGACGTTCACAACAACATTTATATCAATCTTTATAATAATTATATACGTAATACATGTGTAAGTTGCTGAGAAGTAACAAATTTGACAGACCTTATCCACAGAGGCAGCTCGTCCGGACATTTTTTCGCTAATGAAAAATGCGCCCAATTTTTTCACTGCAGCAAAACGTGAATTTTTAAATGTATCCGATTGGCTGTCATTATGTACGAAAGATTTCATTGGTCATTGTGATAAAATGACCAAGATATTCCTACTCGGTATATAGATATATAATATACGTTTGTGTATATAACAAATAAATGGACACGCTTTAAATTCTGGACACAATATAGTGCCTTATATTAAGCAGATATGCGATACCAATATAATCTATATATATGGTGAAAATAAAGAGACAGTTACAGAGTACATGTTTGTAACTAAAAGAACACAAAGACTTCAAATTGTAATCCGCACTATATGTATTACATATGTGTGTGTGTGTGAGTGTGCTTGGAGAAATTATGAGTAGATGTCACCGATTTTCACTAATCGTCCCAGTTACATGTTACATGTGTGGTATACACAATATGTCGACTGAAACATTTTAAAAACTAGTTTCAACCTCGTCGTGCTTCTTTCAATTTGGTATGTCTGTAAAGAATCTGTCTACACATCTTTCCCAGTCCGTCAGTTAATCTTGTTTGTACATAACAAACTACCTATGATTTATCAATCTACATTGTAGATTAATAATTTGAATAAGTCATTATAAAGCATACTGCACTGTTGTCAGATTGGTATAATAACAGATCCCCACCCCACCCCAACCATAACCCCTGCCCCATCCCTCTCCTCACTCCTCCTATGACACTTAGCTCATCATTATATATTTAATTATCACGTCTAATAAGCCACTAGTCACTGTTTGGTTAGACATGTTTTTTATGACGCATTATTATACATTAAAAAATACATGTATATTCTATAATGTCTTTGGATATCTTTAACATTACGATTTGTGTGTGTTCATGATATATAAATACGATAGGATATGGAAAGGATATATATATCTAATATATTTAAATGTTGGAATTCTATGTGATTGTAGTTTGATTGAATCATTCTTAACAATAACCGTTTTCATTTTCTAGTTTTCCAAAAAGTTTTCAGACGACCTTTCCAGTAGATGGCATTCAGTGACGATTTACACGTATCGAGAAATAGAAGTTTGTCGACTAATACATTTAAATCAGTGATATAAGACTCCGATTTGAGCAAGAGACTTGTAACAAATATCCTCGAAATGTTGTATGCATTCCCAAGTACATGTGTCGTTTTATAGCTACTGTAACTGGTATGAAAATGCCGACAGTTGTTTCAATCGCCACACAATCTGTCAATTTAGAGAGCGTGCCAGCAGGACGCTTCAGATGAAATGTGTCTCCAACCTATATTCTCTTTCTCCTCCTTCACTCCCTTGTTCCCATCATTCTTCCTCCCTGTTCCCGTTGTTTGGTTCGATTGTACCGGTAACGATTTATACTTAGCTCAAATATTGTACAACGTCTCTGACGCCGATACAATTTGTATACATCACGTCGTACGAATCATGCTTTACTCAGAACACCTGCCAAAATTCAGCACGTGCACAGTAACACACCTGTCAAACTTGTCCAATATCCATCACGTGCTTCTCAGCAGAAACGTATGCGTGTTACATACGTCTCTGTTCTCAACAAAGCGCACTGTATGTAATAATAACTCGTGAATAACATAGCTGAGCATAAAACCATGGAAAAATGGATTTCTAATGCGGTATCATTTTCCGTCCCTCCATCCATCCGTCTGTCCCATTTCTAGAACAGGTCTTGCTTTCAGTGCAACAACTGAGGTGGGGGCATCAATCGTGCCCCCGATCTTCCATATCCAATTTATCGGATCTACAGTGGTGATAAGGACCGTGAAAGTCCGGCAAGAGGCTCTGAATATCAACGTTCATGAAGGAGATGTATGACTCTAAAAACGGAAATTTCTTCAGAGTACGTAGATAAAGGGAACTGGGGTCATAATCACTTGATAATATTTTAAAATACATTGCAATTACCGTATTAGGAACTACAGAGAAAAGAACAGGAGTATGTTATAAGTTTATATGCATGTGACGATGAAAAGATGATGATATCGAACTGCTGATACCCAGTATGATCGTGAAAAAACATAGTAACACAATAACAGTTATGGTTGCGAGAAAGCAGAAAAGATTGGAAGGGGACAAATATAAGTTGAAGAGAGGCGTTATTGGGTGTCTGGAGGATTATTATGGAATTGTTGACCCAACCCATCCTTCTTACTACCCATTTACTATTTAACATTTGATGTTAGATCAATTACTGATTAAATTACTTCAAAATCCGGATATATATATATACTATTTTGAAATTAGTATTTTGTTTATTCTTACTTATAGGTACATGTATTTTATATAGAAAGATAACTTGATAGCAGTGAGACTTTTTCTGTAACTCTTCCCCATAAAGCGATATATATTTTCCCGCTATTTTTTCCCGCCAAGAAATACAGCATCTAAGAAAATGGCAAAGAGGTACCTAATGGGAAATTACCCATGATTCCTAGACAGTCGGTTTACGGTGAAGTGATAGTCCATGATACGTATTATAAGGATTTTTCCATGTTTGGCCTCATTTTGTTCAGATTTACACCAGGATCACGAAAATATACCATATGTAATTGTGGGGAACTAGAAAATTCCCCACAAACTGAACGAACCCCATAACGTTGGTCCTAAGACTGCTGAGAGTTCCCCCCTCCCCCATTTCTCTCTCTCTCTCTCTCTCTCTCTCTCTCTCTCTCTCTCTCTCTCTCCAGCATTACCTAGTATGAAACTTAATCTTCTTCGTTGGAGACGTTCGGACGTTTCAAGCTTACGATGCGGTATACGATGAGACAAACTTCAGCTTTACATTCTTATTTGAACCTCGTTTATGTGTACAGTATTTTTCACACTAGATTGAACATCAAGATCAACTTGAACCCGTCGGATTTATTACAGATAAGTTACTCAACCGAAGTACTGTAGCTATTTCGTTCTTATCCCCAAGATTGCACAAACTTGAAAGCGTATACATTAATGTATGTATGTATTCATGAGAGCGCATATATAAATGTACATGAATTCATTTTTCACTCAAAACTTCGTCTGGCATTCTATTTCAGTCTTGCGCTCTATTTCAATATTAAGTTTTACGTTTCACATATGATTTGTCATTCTACTCCTTGTTTTCAACCTACATCTTTTTTCCTGTTATCCAGCATGACCGTTCAGCTTTGTTTCTCAATGTTGCGCTAACGACCATACCTTCACACTATCGTTAGGGCTCTGTACGAACGATTAACCTGTCCTTGATGGTAACACCAGAATATAGACGATGTTCTATCCGTAATAAAGTTCCGTTCATATCAACTTCGTATAACTGTTGTACGAAATTTTCAGTTCTGCTGTCCAGACTTACTTAATGAAAGAAACAAATATTGCTTTTTATAGCAATTCAGCTAATTACTACAACTCATGTCCTGGTATGTTTAATGGACCTTTAATATTTCCCGAATCTTTAGCGCTATTCCCCGATACCAGTGACATCTAGCTATTCCCTCTATAGTCTGAATCAATAGTGTTGTTCTAAAGTATTGTCCTCTAATGTTTCCCTCTGTAATCCGATTCTAAAGCTTTCTCATCTGATATGGACGTCTAACATTTCACTCCATAGTCCGAACCTCTAGCGCTATTCTTTGATAGAAACCTCAAAAATTTCCGAGTGTTATTTCTAATAAAAACCTCAAAAGCTTTCTATATCTCCTTGTAATCCTTATCTGTGGCTTTAATCTCTGGTATACATCTCTTATGTTTCTCCTTGTAATCCGTATCTGTGGCTTTAATCTCTGGTATACATCTCTTATGTTTCTCCTTGTAATCCTTATCTGTGGCTTTAATCTCTGGTATACATCTCTTATGTTTCTCCTTGTAATCCGTATCTGTGGCTTTAATCTCTGGTATACATCTCTTATGTTTCTCCTTGTAATCCGTATCTGTGGCTTTAATCTCTGGTATACATCTCTTATGTTTCTCCTTGTAATCCTTATCTGTGGCTTTAATCTCTGGTATACATCTCTTATGTTTCTCCTTGTAATCCTTATCTGTGGCTTTAATCTCTGGTATACATCTCTTATGTTTCTCCTTGTAATCCGTATCTGTGGCTTTAATCTCTGGTATACATCTCTTATGTTTCTCCTTGTAATCCTTATCTGTGGCTTTAATCTCTGGTATACATCTCTTATGTTTCTCCTTGTAATCCGTATCTGTGGCTTTAATCTCTGGTATACATCTCTTATGTTTCTCCTTGTAATCCTTATCTGTGGCTTTAATCTCTGGTATACATCTCTTATGTTTCTCCTTGTAATCCGTATCTGTGGCTTTAATCTCTGGTATGCATCTCTTATGTTTCTCCTTGTAATCCTTATCTGTGGCTTTAATCTCTGGTATACATCTCTTATGTTTCTCCTTGTAATCCGTATCTGTGGCTTTAATCTCTGGTATACATCTCTTATGTTTCTCCTTGTAATCCGTATCTGTGGCTTTAATCTCTGGTATGCATCTCTTATGTTTCTCCTTGTAATCCTTATCTGTGGCTTTTTCTCTGGTAAACAGACTATCTATCTGTATTTTCTGTTGCAGACCTCTCGCGTGTCCTTCTATATTCAAAATTTTCTGTTAGGCCACTAATATTTGCCTCTTTTTGTCGGAATTTCTAGCATTTTTCTCTTGTATAGACTTGTTGTAACGAATGTTTCTACTGTTTCTCTCTACAGTCCGAATCCCTTCGTTTATTTTCTGGTACCAACTTGGAACATTTCCTTCTATTGACGAAACCTCTATTGTTTCCCTCTAGAGTTGGAATCTCTGGAGTTATTTTCCAATATAGACATCAAACGTTCACTTGTACAGTTTTATTCTCTAACGTCTAATAATAACCTCTGTCTGAATGTTTGTTTTATTTTGTATCGACCTCTAACGATAGCCTCTATTGTTTTATTCTCGTGTGTAGATCTCTAACGTCGATATTTTTTAGTCTAAATCTCTTGCTGTAATCTCTTGTGTAGATCTCTAACGTCGATATCTTTAGTCTAAAACTCTTGCTGTAATCTCTTGTGTAGATCTCTAACGTTGATCTCTATAGTCTAAATCTCTTGCTGTAATCTCTTGTGTAGATCTCTATATTCTAAATCTCTTGCTGTAATCTCTTGTGTAGATCTCTATATTCTAAATCTCTTGCTGTAATCTCTTGTGTAGATCTCTAACGTCGATATTTTTAGTCTAAATCTCTTGCTGTAATCTCTTGTGTAGATCTCTAACGTCGATATTTTTAGTCTAAATCTCTTGCTGTAATCTCTTGTGTAGATCTGTCTAAATCTCTTGCTGTAATCTCTTGTGTAGATCTCTAACGTTGATCTCTATAGTCTAAATCTCTTGCTGTAATCTCTTGTGTAGATCTCTATATTCTAAATCTCTTGCTGTAATCTCTTGTGTAGATCTCTAACGTCGATATTTTTAGTCTAAATCTCTTGCTGTAATCTCTTGTGTAGATCTCTAACGTCGATATCTTTAGTCTAAATCTCTTGCTGTAATCTCTTGTGTAGATCTCTAACGTCGATATCTTTAGTCTAAATCTCTTGCTGTAATCTCTTGTGTAGATCTCTAACGTTGATCTCTATAGTCTAAATCTCTTGCTGTAATCTCTTGTGTAGATCTCTATATTCTAAATCTCTTGCTGTAATCTCTTGTGTAGATATCTAACGTCGATATTTTTAGTCTAAATCTCTTGCTGTAATCTCTTGTGTAGATCTCTAACGTCGATATTTTTAGTCTAAATCTCTTGCTGTAATCTCTTGTGTAGATTTCTAACGGTGCTCTCTATAGTCTAAATCTCTTACTGTAATCTCTTGTGTAGATCTCTATATTCTAAATCTCTTGCTGTAATCTCTTGTGTAGATCTCTAACGTTGATCTCTACAGTCTAAATCTCTTGCTGTAATCTCTTGTGTAGATTTCTAACGGTGCTCTCTATAGTCTAAATCTCTTGCTGTAATCTCTTGTGTAGATCTCTAACGTTGATCTCTACAGTCTAAATCTCTTGCTGTAATCTCTTGTGTAGATTTCTAACGGTGCTCTCTATAGTCTAAATCTCTTGCTGTAATCTCTTGTGTAGATCTCTAACGTCGATATCTTTAGTCTAAATCTCTTGCTGTAATCTCTTGTGTAGATCTCTAACGTCGATCTCTACAGTCTAAATCTCTTACTGTAATCTCTTGTGTAGATCTCTAACATTGATCTCTTTAGTCTAAATCTCTTGCTGTAATCTCTTGTGTAGATTTCTAACGGTGCTCTCTATAGTCTAAATCTCTTGCTGTAATCTCTTGTGTAGATCTCTATCGATATCTTTAGTCTAAATCTCTTGCTGTAATCTCTTGTGTAGATCTCTAACGTTGATCTCTACAGTCTAAATCTCTTGCTGTAATCTCTTGTGTAGATTTCTAACGGTGCTCTCTATAGTCTAAATCTCTTGCTGTAATCTCTTGTGTAGATCTCTAACGTCGATCTCTACAGTCTAAATCTCTTACTGTAATCTCTTGTGTAGATCTCTAACATTGATCTCTTTAGTCTAAATCTCCTGCTTTATTCTCTTGTGTAAACCTCTTTAAACTCGACCCGTTTTGACCGAATTTCTAGCTTTATTCTTAGGAATAGACTTTAGTGTTTCAATCTATAGTCCTATTCTGTAACAGTATTCTCTTGTATAGACCTCTAAAGTTTCTCTCTCTCTAGTTTATTCTCTTCTGTAAATGTTGACCACGTTAATCCGATTCTCTAGCTTTATGGTCTGGTATAGACTAGACATCTAATGTTTTCCTCGAATCCGCGAATCCTTCACATTTACCAATTGTGACTGCAAGGAACGACAACTCTAGTAGAGATTGGCACCACCCTACTGCGATATGCCGTGGCTAGTGTTGGACCTCTACTTTTTCCGTGACAAAGTATGTCTGACATGCATTGGTTTCTCTGTTTAGCCGTTAAACACAATGCTAGTGGAATTCGATAAAAATGAAATTTCAGACTGGTTCATGCTTCTTCTGTAACAAAAATCAATCGATACTCAGATGTGCCATTTACCAATACACGTTTTTTTATTTATCTTTTTTAAATATTGATAATCCAACAACAGTATTTAACAAAAATTTTATAAAACGTACAATACATACATTATGTAAAATTATAAAAATATTCTGTATCGAGATTTTTCAAACAAAATCTGCATAATAAAACGGTTACTACAGTCGATATAAATATCATACAAATATCACAAGTTTTTTAAATACACCTATTCCACCTTCTCCTTTTTAACCAACATATCTCTAGCATAAAAATGACAAAATACAACCACTATGCTGTTTAACAATGTGGCTAGTATAACTGCTCCTATACTGTTCCAGAAGGTTGGTAGAGCCATGGTAGAAAACTTTGGAGCAAGTCTTTCTAATTCATGAGTAATACCGTCGAGCTGTTTCTCTGTTACCATGATGATACAAAGGTGGAATATCTGGTGACTGTGGCCAACAAAGTCAAAGTACCCAGGAAAAAAGCGTTGAGGAATGTCTGAGCCAAAGAAAAACCCTGCCAAGGCGAACCACGCCATTTGTTGTATATGATGATCCAGACTGGAGTGCCATGGGCCAGTCTCATACTGGACGAGCCGCAGAATAATAGGTACACTATTTAACAAGTAAATGGCCACCACTGCCGACATCTGCCATACGGTGCGCGCGAAAGGGTAAGGTGGCTCGTACATGAACATAGTGGCACTACAGCATAGACATACCAGCGTTCCCATAACAACACTTACTGCCACGGCGTTAGTTTGGAGCCACGGGCTCACCCAGGCGTCGTCATGACAGTAGTGATGGTGAAGGATGACACTACCCACTCCAAACAGTCCTATACCCGCATAGTCTATCATGAAGGCTGTGTAGTGCACAAGTTCTGATTTGTTGGAGAAACAGTGAGCAATCGTACTGCATAGATACATCAAAACCATGGTGACAATACCAGCCGTCAAGGGCCACATGTGGGGATCCCCTAGCATGTCGTGGTTCTGTGAAAACTCAGCTGCCCTGAGAACAGCCAAACACATACCCAGTAAGTGTGTCCAGCAGTTTATGCATTCATTGTGTTTTTGGAAAAAACTGTAGAGGTAGTAGCGCCACGGCTGGTGAGGGGTGCGGAATCCAGTCTCCACATGCGGAACATGGAACACTTCCGGCACATACTGCCTCGTTGTGGTGGGAACGAAAGACGTTGCCATCCTGTTGGAGTCACCCCGTTTCCCTGTAACATAAATTTCGTAAATTATTATCACTAGATGAACTAATTAGTTCATATTTTACCACAATCATAGGTTCCTTACGTGACCAAAGAAAACCAACTACGCCTAAAAGGCGTTCTAGTAGCATCCACACCTATCTCGGTCCCAACAGCTTCCCTAAAGAAACGTCGATGGACGACCAATCTTTTACGGATAGTCTTATTCAAATGGAGACGGATGTGAATTTTAGAAGCAGGACGGAAGCTCTAATGCGGAAGACTTAACTTTAGCTCCCGGCACGCCCATCCATGGGATGCCACAGTTACCGAGTACTGTATACTGATATTGATTGAGGTCTGCACAAATTCAATGTATATTAATAATGCAGTTTCGACGCCGATACCATAAACTCACTAACATTACACATACACTAATACCACTCCATACTGAGGGCAAAGACATGTGTGCCATTTCAATCAAGAGATCTTTGAGCCTGATATGCAAGCCAAAATTCTTTAAAACATTAGGTGTGTATATTATCGATCACGACTCGGTCACTACATACATACAATAGTACCGACCCACTAGGTTACAATCCTATTACACCGGGTTCATTACACTGAGAATATATTGTCTTGAATATATGTATACATATGAAATGCATTACGCTTTATTTTTATTAGATTAATTGATCTATAAACTGACGAAAGAAGACAACACAATACATCCAGAACACAAGTGTGTCGATTCGAAAGTTTCGGGTTTTATCCCATATCACATGCGTTTTCTTACAAATTTCAAATGTTCTTATGACGTAATAGACAATTTGTCGCTAGGTTATATCGAGAAATTCTAGCTATTATTACAACTCCCAAACATCTTTTTGTCAGGCAGATAAAGCATTTCTTGACTAGGCGATTTGGTGCCGTATATTGTGAAAATTACCTGTAAAATAAATTCAGTTTGATATACAAATTGCACATATACAAATATTATGTTCAATCTAATGTGTATCATTTAAATAACAGAATATGATATGACATAACGTTGTGGCCATCTTCAAGCGATAGCTAAATTTCTAACACCACAGTGTTAAATATGATATGATGACCATATCAACAGCGAAATCGTAAGAATTCTATGTCATGAATACTATTTATGAACCAGCTGAGGTTACAGCGACCTACTGGCCTCGAACCTGTACAGACCTACCTGTGGTGTGGGCGTGGTCACATGGGACATCTTCCCAAACTGGTGTTATAATCATATCTTAGTGTTCAATCGGTACCCGATCACGTCGGCATCCTTACTTGTCACATAGATACACTGGAATGCTTCACGTGTCTATATGACACACTTGGATGTCATGTCTTTAACGCATGAACTGGAAACACATACGGGATGCTATGTACTGAGCGCCAGTGTTACAATCCACTGTACTACACATGTGCTTCAACATTCCAGCACACATTCTACACGCATGGTATACTGCGAATATTCACTATCAATAGCATTGCAACTTTCAGTGGCAGCCCCACCCTCATAACTTGAAAGCTTAATTTCAGCCCCGCCCACAATGCTGCATGGATACTGAAGTATTCCACTAGTTACTGACCACATCACTAGTGTAGTGAGCAATGCACGTGTTTACCAGCATCATCGGCAAGGATAGAGGTCTCTGCCAGCATGCAATCCTTACCTTGTGATGCCGCATCGCCTCTTGGATCCTGTGTCAGTCAGCATCTCCATCTATGCTGAACGAGACTGCTAAGTGATACTATTACAGCGGAAGTTGGGTGACGTTACATAGCTTTATATCCGAATTCTATGTAATAACAGCTGATTTGAATGCACATACACGTGTATACATAAAGTCATTCAGACGGGAACAGTATTCATGTTTTGACACTGCGTGTTGCTCACTGAAAAACGTACTATAAAGCTATAGATGTCGTTCTTACAAGCAGATATGTACATTTGAATGACATTCCCCGAGATACGGTTGACGGGGCTTTTGACTGTGACGTCATTGATATGTAAACGTAACAGCGTCTTATCGGCACACCGGAGGCTACCCCATGCTAACTATACAAAATCACAACAAACTAGAATATACACATTTGTTTCATATCATAAATAAATCTTTTATTAATGTTTGATACGATTGCAAGATTTAAGTACTACGTCTCTTTGTAATTTCTATATATAAAATATCCAACAACCTGACAGTTTTTTATTATTAAAATAATGCAATCAAAGTATTAACTGAATGTGGTTTAAAAAGTGAGGTTTTAAGATGACCTAGATTTTTCACAAATTGTCATAACTGAAAATAGTTATCAATATAAAAATCTGTTTTACCCTGTGCCTTTCCGTCATCTAAAGATGCCATTTTTAAAAAATGCAATAAATTTGACCACAGTGGTCCTGAAAGTGAGCCAAGGTCATCCATTTGAACAAACCTTCTAGTTCTTCGTCCTAGTATCATATCAATCTGATAAAAATACGGATCTTTATTTACCACTCCAATACTTTCCGTCTAAATGAGTATTGTCAAGTATTGGAGAGGTAAATTAAGAACTGTATTTTTATCAGACTGAGTATCACGTAAAACCACAATCAACACATTGGACCTTTTGCTTATTGAGAACAAGTTGTTTGAAGCATTTCGCCTCTGTGACCTTGGAAGTGGTCGTCATGGGTCATTTTCTTGTTAGCCCTTCCATCCGAGCAACCAAGACACTTTACTTCTCGACAGACGACCGAATATGAGCTAAAATCAGGGAAAAGGGAGAGAAAATAGAGATTAGAAATAATAAACTTTCGCACAATGAAATTATTTATGCAATATTGGTGTTTGAAAACACAAGTCAACAAAGTTTTGGATTTGGCAGTACTTATGTATGCACCAAATACTTCACTCATTTGGATAGCCTCGTCCCGGAGAAATCGCGACTTTACCACACACTGGAGTATCCTGTCCAGTTAGACTAGTTTTTGTTACAAAATGAATTATTATATGCCGATTGCTTTGCAAGATAAACAGAAGTTGAATACAGTTAAACATATCACAGTATTGGCACATATATTGGCGCGTATTGATGGATGAAGTATTACTCGTCATTCTGGAGGGGCATGAAACAGATATTTAAAACAAAGGTGATTAGAGGCTTCATTTTTGTCAATAGGCGATCTCGTGCAAATGAGAGAGAGACAAAGAGAGAGAGATTGGGGAGGGGGGATTAAAATAGATTTTTTAGTTTGAATCCCTGTCATACTGTCATAAGACAAATCGATTTTCCAACCATATCATAAGGGGTCTCCGTGTAGGGGTCTGGATTTGATTTGTTTAGTGGTGTGTGTATGTGTGTGTGTGTGTGTGTGTGTGCGCGCGCGCGCGCGTGTACGTGCGCTTGTGTGTGTGTGTGTTGTACATTATTTTTAGCAAAGGAACATTGATCCATAAATTTGGCATGGACCAGATATATTTGAGATCGGTCCTAATGTTTATAAGTTGTCTGGACAAGGATCATACAGCTTTATGAAAAAAGTAATAAAAACTCCTGACATTCCCGATGGTTTCCGTCAAGTACTAGTTATGATACATGTTTGTAGAAATCAGTACAAGTCCTGGCCCCACTTGTATAAAACATCTCTACTTGAGATTTCCTTAAGTCGAGATTTTCCTCAGCTAATATCTCCTTGAAAATATCTTGTATGAAAAAGATGTTTTATACAAGTGGGGCCAGGAGTTATTCAGACCCTGTTCTACTGACAAACGGAATGACAGACAAGTAGATTCAGAATAAACCCTCTCACGATCTTCAAGATTTATGATGAAATAAAACTGAAGAAGTTTCTGATGAAGTAGTTTTTATTTTTTTAAATCACAAAGTGCAATGCTCTTTTTGTAGGAAACACCTGAAAATACACAGTACATCTCACACCAGTGGCATGTACTTCACTGTCATGAGTCCATAATATCAAGGACCTGTGTCGTCCTTACTAAATATCAAAATTACTTAACACACACCTCTCCCACACCGACATATTAACGTCATGCATATATGTCTCGTATGTATCCAACACTGAAATCTGTCGAGTATTTTACCAAAATAAGTTCTTCAGGATTTCAACTAGGGACCAGTGTCAGCAAAACTAACATGAAACATGTCTTTGAAATCTGACAATGTGACACGTCTCCGACATTTCAATGCGACAGGTGTCTAAACATTCCAATGTGACATATCATCAACATATAAATATGACAACGGTCTCGTGAATTAAATGTGTCGCGTGCTATAAAATCAAAATTCAATATTTAAATCTCAATGTGTGTCCATCCAATGAGACGTACACAGATGAATAAAATTGTGTATGTTTGGAAGTCTTTTGTAAAAGAACTATCAGCTTATCAAAAAACTAAGTATTGACACCATTTTAATCATTTTTCTGTTAGTATGAAATCACAAAAAAAAGACATGCAAAAATTACAAATTGTGGATTTTTGAGAAAATTGCTCGTTGCAAAAATACCGATATACAGTAAAACGTCATAAGTTCTTAAAACTGTAGTGGTCCTCATATCACCAAAAAGGGAGGTAAGTCACCATTGGTAGATATAATGAAGTGGTCCTTACATCACCAACAAAGGGAGGTAAGTCATCATTCGTAGAACAATAAGGTGGTCCTTACATTATCAAAAAAGGGAGGTTAGTCACCATTTGTAAATATAATGAAGTGGTCCTTACATCACCAAAAAGGGAGGTAAAACCCTATTGGCGGATATAATGATGTGATCCTTACATCACCAAAAAAGGGAGGTAAGTCACAATTAGTAAATATAATGAAATGGTCCTTACATCACCAAATAGGGAGGTAAGTCACCACTGGTAGATATAATGAAGTGGTCCTTACATCACCAAAAAGGGAGGTAAATTCCTATTGGCAGATATAATGATGTGGTCCATACCTCATTAACAAAGAGAGGTAAGTCACCATTGGTACATACAATGAAGTGATTCTTACATCACCAAAAAGGGAGGTAAGTCACCATTGGTACATACAATGAAGTGATTCTTACATCACCAAAAAGGGAGGTAAGTCACCATTGGTACATACAATGAAGTGGTCCTTACATCACCAAAAAGGGAGGTAAGTCACCATTGGTACATACAATGAAGTGGTCCTTACATCACCAAAAAGGGAGGTAAGTCACCATTGGTACATACAATGAAGTGATTCTTACATCACCAAAAAGGGAGATTACTCACCATTGGTACTTATAATGAAGTGATCCCTACATCACCAAAAAGGGAGGTAGGTCATCATTTGTACATACAATGAAGTGGTCCTTACATCACCAGAAAGGGAGGTAAGTCACCATTGGTAAATATAATGAAGTGGTCCTTTCATCATCAACAAAGGGAGGTAAGTAACCATTGGCACTTATAACATAGTGGTCCTTAATCAATAATGAAAGGAGATAAGTAACTTAAATCTTAGAGGACAGTGTGTCAATATTCTTTATTAAAGGGTCAATTTTCTTTATTAGAGGACAGTGTGTTAACTTACTTTATTAGAGGACAGTGTATTAACTTACTTTATTAAAGGACAGTGTGTTAACTTACTTTATTAGAGGACAGTGTGTTAACTAACTTTATTAGAAGACAGTGTGTTAACTTACTTTATTAGAAGACAGCGTGTTAACTTCCTTGAGGATGGCAAGTCAATTTACATCATTGAGTCAACTTATGAAAGGATGGTGGCACCAATCTGGCAGCTTCTTTTGATCTTTGCTCTTTTAAGTTTTTATCAAATGTGTGTCATGGTATATTTTTGACAACAGAAACACTTGCTGATATTTTCAAGAAAAACTAAATTAAAATAAGCACTAGTACAGAGCACTGAGATTCAGTTTGAATAGAAAAAAAATAATCTAGGCAAGAAAAAGGCAAAATAAATTGTTTGTCCAAATAAAATGTCCATTCTGGAGACTTTCTCGGGTCGTAAGACCCAAAACAGAGAATGACTTAAACAGAATAATTGTAATGAATAAAGGGATAACACTGACTTTCCTGTGGCCCATGACATACCTTCAATGAGATCACTGAGTGAAACATAGACAGGTGTACTTGAATAACATAACTCATAAAGAATCAAAACAAACATGTTGGGCTCTAATAATACAAACTTGTCCAGAGAAAACAGCAGATTTTCAACAGATAAAACATATACTAGGATTTGGACACATATTGGAGACACAATATTTCAGACACAACAACATCCAAACAAAATCATGGTCAAAGTTTCCTACAAGATTGCAACTCTGAATTTTGAGGACAGAATGACTGATCAACAATACCCATAAAGCAATAGGTCTGTTCAACAGATTATGTATGATAAATAGTATACACAAAGACAGTAGGTCTGGTAAAAACACAGAGACACCAGGTCTATTCAGAAACACAGAGATACCATGTCTGCTCATATACAGAGATACCTTCTCTGTTAATATACACTGACATCAGGTCTGCTCACAAACACAGAGACACCAGGTCTGTTCATGAAGACAGACACCAGGACTGATCATGAAGACATGGACACTGAGATACCTTGTCTGTTCATATATACAGACACACCAGGTCTGTTCACAAACTGAAACACAGAGACACCAGGTCTGTTCGTAGCACAGAAACACTGAGTCTGTTCGTAGCACAGAAACACTGGGTCTATTCACAAACTGAAACAATGGGACACCAGGTCTGTTCATAGCACAGAAACACCGGGTCTGTTAAGAAACACAGACATACCAGGTCTGTTCACATACAGAAGATACCTTGTCTGTTCATATATACAGACACACCAGGTCTGTTTGTAACACACAGGCATCAGGTATGCTAACAAAAAAAGAGACACCAGGTCTGTTCATACACACAGAGATACCAGTACTCTTCATATTTACCAAGACACTGGGTCTATTCATATAAAGACACCAGGTCTGTGCACATACACAGAAATACCAAGTATATTATTATACCAACAAACTAGGTCTGTTTACACACACATAAATACAAGGTTTCTTCTTATACTTAGAGATACCAGTTCTGTTCATAGAAACACATGACCTGTTCATATACAGAGGCACTAGGTCTGTTCTTTTACACAGAGACACCATGTCTGACCAACAGTATATACCACGATTATTTTACAAAGGGATGCTATATTTTGGCATCTGGTAAGTGTAGACGTCTTATTAACATTAATTCACAAAAACTAATAAATAGCACTTTGAATCATTAAAAACACAAGATCAAACAATAAAATCACATATCTTGTTTACAAACAAATAAATTGAATCTGAATTCAATAAATTAATTTTAAATAAATGTGTTTACATTTGTTTTTGAATTTCAACAAACATTATCGTATTTTTTTCTGCCTTTTTTTTCTTGATTTATCTACTCGTATCAATAATATCTAATATACAATTTTCCGATTGAGTCAAAGAATGTGGGCAAGATTATGATGTAATAATATCTAACAAGGTAATTTTTAGTAGAACAACCTTACTGTAAATTTGCATTTTGTAGCAGTAATCACATTTTAGTGCTTTTAACTTTGAAATTATTGTGCTAAAATATGATTGTAATAATTGAAGTTTCTATAAGCTGTTTTCATAGTAACTGTTGTGTATACTTAAATTGATCAATGCACTCATTTGCTAAAAATTATACCATACCAACATTTGATTGTGTCAAATACAATACATTTACAGTAGTTTATGATCAACATAACACTTTCTAAATAATAAAACTGGATTTCATACAGTTTCATCATTGTTTCATTTGATGTGTAACAAAATGAAACTTAAATGTTAGACGATCCATGATCCAATGTTATCTGTAAGTACATGTTTTTACACCATGATTTTACACACACTGTTTGTACACCTGTATGTGTGAGGATATATGTGTAATTCATTATCTAAATATGTATATATGGGTGTGTTATACCAGTATTTACATCAGCATATATGTACAGGTTTGTGCGTAGTGTATTCAGGGTTGTATTTGTAAGTATATGTGTAGTGTATTTATCTGCATATATGTGATGTTGCCATACATAAAATAATATGTCATTTTTCCCATGGAATAAGTTATACAATTCTTTTTAGTGTCTTATGTTTATCAAGAAATAAATGTTTGTAAAATGTGCAAAAATCAATATTTCACCGAGGATTTTATATACAAAATAAACACATACGATTCATGATCACAGTCATCAAACAAAAGAGCAAATTTTTTTTTTTTTTTTTTTGAAAAATCAAGACATATCTTCATCTACTTCCTCACCAGCCAAAAATCAAGAAATCATTTAAATTTTAGGTATTGGAATAAAAATGTCTGGCCCTAAATGACATTTTGCAGCTCAAGATTACAAGGTTATGCAACTAACAAATCATTTGTATAATTAAAAACAATATGCAGTTATGTTTGAAGCAATATGAAAAGTTAAAAATTCAATATCTTAAAGATATCATGATTCAAAACTACAAACAGAAAAAAAAACACACAAAAAAGAAAATAAAAACACAAATAAAATTTTAAAAATCTGAGGTAAATCAACAAAATACCTATAAAGTACATCTATAACATATATATCAGGAGAATGTCCAGAACAAAAACACTGTTGTGGATATTATCAAATATGTATATTATATATCTACAAAAAGACCAGATTTTAAACAAAGATAACAAAATTCAACTTGTAGTAAGCTATTATGCTTATACAGATACAAAATATATTCTACAATATTCAACAAAAACAAGAAATACAGTTTAATCACTGGTGTCAAGAAAATTTACAGAGATGAAATAGCTTGAAATGTTCTTTTACAAAATCACAGTATCAGTCCCTCTGCTCTGATCACTTTGACCAGCTTCTTGTCAACAATTTCTATATTGAAGTTGTAGGAAAATAAAGCTAGGCATGTAAACAAAATATGAAAATGGAAACAAAAACAAAAGATATTGCTTAAAATTTGTAGATAGAAAATTTACACACTCAGAAATTGCACAACTGAGAAATTAAAGTCTTTTGGTCTACTAGCCTTTTGGTAAAAAAACCATGTAACATTAAAATTTGAGTCAAATATTGAGATGTACCCTTGTATTTTGACATATCTGTGTGTACCAGTATAATATCATCAAACCATAATAACAGGTACAACAGCTGTAATGTAACATACTGATAAGTAGATCACTTAAAATTGCTTTGATGACAAAAATGGACTGTAAATAATTAATCATTTCAGAAGATTGAGGAGTGAAAATGTCAGAGGACGTTAAGAATTTGTGTAAATCTGGATATGTGATATACAAATAAAATTATGTGAAACAAAAGCATTTGGACCAGGTATGGAATGTACTAAATTATGAAAGCAGAATTAGCAGATTCCTAATTACAATTCTGTCTAATAAGCCTCTAGGAATACAAAAGTATTATTTTTTTTCATTATCTGCCAATCATCTTGTATCTGGTTATATATAATGCTTTACTTGTATATTATTGTCTCAAGGGATAAAAGACATGTAAAAATCAACACAATCAGACAGGTAAGCCTAAATGTATCATCTCCATCATGATGGGCATGTCAATGTTCTGCATTGTATTTCCAATAGTTTACTACAGCACAGAACATTGAATCTAATATTCATATATTTATTTGAATCTAAATGAATACTGGTCACTGGGCATTGTGCGTTGAAATGATCAACAGGAATTTTTGACATAATCTAGTTTCTGTGGTAGATGTGTAACTTTTCTTTGAAAAATTACCTGTTCACTCACAGATAAAATTCAATAGTTTTTGAAAATGTCATGTTTTCAGCTTGGAAAAAACTGTTCTTCATGAAAAAAAAAATGTATAATATAGATTCTGTCTACCTCTCTCCAGATGCTCTCTCTTTCTATCTATCTCTAGAGTCTATCTCTCTCATTGCAGTTTGTCTGACTCTGTCTCTCTCTACAACCTCCATATGTCACTGTCTGTTTTTCTACTCTCTCTCTCTCACTCTCTCTATCTATCTATCTACCTCTCTAGTCTCTTTCTCTAGGCTTTCTCTCCCCCTAATGACAGTCACACTCTTGAACCTCTTTCTCTACAGAAGTATCCCGGCACTAAATAACAAACATTTGAAAAAAATTCACTCACCAGAATTTTTAGAAGAACTAAATCTTAACAACTAAACTAATTGATATACATCATGTGAATGTCTCAAGGCAAACAAGTTAACATATTAATAATACAATTAAGTTTACATGTTAGTCAGTCATAAGAGCACTAAGTGACTTGCATACCTAAAATCTAACATGTGCTGCTGCTGAATGACAAGGTCTTTAGTACAATAGTTTAGTATTCTTTTACAATGTATTTTATATTGTTTTAATGAAACTACCAAGCATATATCCTCCTTTCTATCACAGAAAAAGGGTCAAATTTTGATTCTTTATGATAATTTCTTTATGTGGGCCATTACATGTGAACAAAGTCTCTACGTGTATTATTCCAGATGACCAGGGCTATACATATTATAGTATTTATTCCGAATAAAAAACTGACAGAATGACATGCTAATACATTTCTTCCAAAATTTGCCTCTGGTCTTACACTTTAAAAATGAAAATGTACACTCTTGCCCTTGGTCAAGCATATATACCTGGTATCTGTCAATCTGAATTTGGGCAGGGGAAATATTCACACTTCAAAGAATCACCAAAGAGCACTGCCTCACTATGATAGCTTTCACTCCTCCTTTTTCTCACAGACCAATTTTTCTTTCACATAAAGGTGAAACAAATATACAACAATTCCATTGAAGATGATAACTAGTATCACTGCTCCTATACTGTTCCAGAAGGTTGGTAGAGCCATGGTAGAAAACTTTGGAGCAAGTCTTTCTAATTCATGAGTAATACCGTCGAGCTGTTTCTCTGTTACCATGATGATACAAAGGTGGAATATCTGGTGACTGTGGCCAACAAAATCAAACTTCCCAGGAAAAAAGCGTTGAGGAACTTCTGAGCTGAAGAAGAATCCTGCAATGGCAAACCACATCATCTGTTGTAAGTGATGATCCAGGCTGGAGTGCCAGACACCAACAGCTGCATATTGAAACAGTCGCAGTAGTATAGGTAGACTTAACCAGGTGTAAATTGCCACCACTGACGATACCTGCCAAATTTTCCTGGCTACTGGATAAGGCCTCTTATATATAACTTTGGACACACTGCAACAGAAGCAGACAATTACACCAAGAATCATCCCCACAAGGACAGCATTAGTCTGGAGCCATGAATTTACCCAGGCATCATCATGACAGTAGTGATGGTGAAGGATGACACTACCCACTCCAAACAGTCCTATACCCGCATAGTCTATCATAAAGGCTGTGTAGTGCACAAGTTCTGATTTGTTGGAGAAACAGTGAGCTGTCGTGCTGCACAGGTACATCAGCACCATGGTGATCAGACCGGCTGTAAGGGGCCACATGTGGGGATCTCCCAGCATGCTGTGGTTCTGTGCAAAGTCGACGGCTCTGCTCAGAGCAAAGAACAGGCCAACCAGGTGTGTCCAACAATTCATGCATTCATTGTGTTTCTGGAACAGACTGTAGACATAGTAGCGCCAGGGCTGGTGAGGAGTGCGGAATCCAGTTTCCACATGTGGTTCATGGAACACAACCGGCACACCCTTTTTGGTGGTGGTGGGAGCTAAGGACGTCAACATCACTGTTAGATAAGGCCTTCTGTATAGGAACAATGTTGTTAATTCAGGCCTCCTCCTGTAAGATAAAACAAGGGCATTTAAATTACATTTTTAATTAACACCTTCCTCGAGTGCTTCAGAAGAATAAAATAGGTTTAGTAAGTAAAACAAAAAAAAGTGTTTTAAAGTTAAGGGTTTTGCATCTGATATTCATTATATTTGTTGTTACCTTATGTCTGACAGTATACTGCATTGTATCTGTGTGCTTCACATGAGCCCTTTCACAAATTCATACTTAAAACAATTACAATACTGCATTATATCTAATAAACATACCATGAAGTGCTTTTAGTCTGACACTGGGGAATAGATATGGTCTGTTGCATTGTTTTCTTTCTGAAGAAACTTAGTGTCCTAAAGCTACCATTCACCCTATACATTTACCTTTGAGAAAGTATAGGTCAGCCCATTCATGAGGCTCACTCATGCACACCAAACAGACACCCCTAAGACGTTACCTATACATTACTGTATGTACTAAAGTTAAGAAAGGCCTAAACATGTTTGAAAAACAGAAAATCGCGCATGATACATATGTCTTCAATAGAAGACGAATAAAAGATTATTTAAGACCAATCATATTCAAATATTCATTTATCATGAGCATCCAGCTATAGATGCGTAATATATAAATTTTGTCGCAATATTGATAATCGATTGTAGGCATCACTGCAGCTTTTAACATCTTGAAGACAAGTGTTCAATGATTCAGCTTCTTTGCAGTAATGTACTGTGATGACCTTGTCAACACGCAAGTTCAAAAGAGCATTGAACTATATGAAGCCTATAGTAACTGCGATTACCGACGAGTTGCTGCGATACGAGTGCTGTACAAGTTAAACAACATTGCATTTGCAGCATACATAAACATGAACACCCAGTATCACAACTGAACATATTAACTTCCTTAAACAAAATCGTTACGATTGTATTACCCTTGTTTATCGCCACCAGTCACCGGGTCCTACCGGAATGTGTCACTTCACCAGGAAACACAATGTTTATCTTAATTTTAGAGCCAAGATTCCGGACAAAGATTTACGACAAAATTAATAAATAAAACAAAATAAATTCGTGGCTAGTTGAATAAATTAATTGAATAAAGATGACATGATGAGAAACTGATAAATACAAAATCGATTTTTAATTTCGGGTTAAAAGACATTTTTTTAACTGTGCAGCTAGATTTCCGTCTTGGTCATCGATGAAAGAAAGTAAACGGTGGACAAACCATTATTATATGTCAAACTATTTCTCTGGTTTGGACTTGTTTTAAAATTTGGTCTTTTAAGCGATTGGAGGGTGTATATATATATAACTACCATTTAAATTCATAACTACATTTTAGTTATTTAGAACGAAGACAAATAGTTTGCAATCAGTGCTTAAAAACTGATTTTAAAAGGTAGGAATGTTTAACACATTTCCAACTAAAACACGTGCTACATGCCTGTGGTTAAAGACATCGCTTCAGTTGAAGACAGGACCGTATCTTGTGGAAGAACGAGAATAACAGTAAACAGGCATTGACGTTTTCTCTCCATGATAACTTATAAAAATCAATGAGCCAAACAGCAATATCACGAGAGATGCATTTGACCCAAAAGACATAGGAGACTGTTTTTCCCCAATGTATGATCGAGTGAAATTGAAAACTAATTAAACACAGATATCGCGTGTATATTTCGATAAATCCGTGTTTTTCATCCAGCTGTAACACAAAGTAACCATTCTATTTTCTAGAGACTTACTCTCTGATATCAGCTTTAAAAACTCCCACACAAAAACACTTTACATATGAGCTCTGTCGACAAATACTGAGAGAACCAGAATATAGATCATCTAACGACAAAACGATGTAAAACTTGATTATATTAATCTTCATTTTACACCAGGTGTCACGAATATATATAAAGTGATCAGCTACTAAAAACGGCAATTTAATTAATGTCGTTGGACACAGATGGGAGGGGGGGGGGGGGGGAGGGGGTCATTATAAGCATGAATATTTAATGTAATTTATTAATACCAAATTCAAAAGATATAGGTAGAGATAAATGAATAAATACGAAAAAATTTTTTATCAACCGGTTTAACATCAACATGTGTGGTATATGGGCTGTGTTTGGTTGCGATTGCGATGTCTTCACACAATTTAACGCCGCATTCAAAATATCTCACCGTGGACCCGACGCCTTTCGACTGGAAAGTATAAATCAGTTCCCTTCGTGTTGCCTTGGATTCTATCGTCTTGCTATTCTTGACCCAGAACAAGGAATGCAGCCAATGCGAGTGTCCAAGTATCCTCATATTTGGCTTATATACAACGGAGAGATATATAACCACAAAAACGTGAGTTTGACTGCCAATTAAAGGGCTAAAAATATCACATATGTTTCTTCTTAAGCTATTGTTTGTTTGTTGCTTTTTCATTGAATCAAATGCCAATATTACAATCTTCCCAGTGAGACTTTATTACCTGTAATAGATTAAATAAACAGATTACTCTTGCACATCTTACCTAGTAAGTATATATGTTAAAATTACGCTGTCACCACTGTCTAAAAATAAAGTTTTTTTACGAACCTTCTTTTGATATGGTAATAACGAAACGAGTGTAGTATATATATATATATGCTGTGCGGGGTTTTGGAATTAAACGGCTACATTTTCTCCTGCGACTCTCTCAACAACATATTTTGGTATCTGTGTGAATCAGTATTCTGTCTTATCAACAAGAACTTATTTCAGACGATATTTTTTGCTTTTAATGTTGTGCTTAAATTTCCCTACATTCTTATTGAACAAACAGCAAAATAAGTTTACAAACAGCATTAACAGGGTCGTTAGTGTTTGATACATATAAAACATAGGTATACTACTTTATCTTACTAATTCTACTATTTATAAATCGTCTTTACTAGATTTGAAAGTAAGAATAGCTAGTGGATGTTTCGTTTTGACTATTGGTAATCGAATGGCACACTGGCTCTTTTGTAAATAGGTATTTTTTTTCATTTTGAATGGATTTTTCATAAATACCCAAAACTGATTGTCACTATGAATCCCCTTGTTTGAGAAAACGTTTTTTCAGATTCAAGAATGCATTTGAACAAAATTGTATGGGAGAATGTGACTCTATTTGACAAAATGTGAAGCTTTCACTTTGAGCGTCAGTTATCTATATTGGCGACACCTCAATTATCTTCTGGCATATACTTACTAACCTCTAATTTTTACTATGCGTAGACGGGAAATAACATGATCAATTCAGTTTCGCACCAAATGATATATAGAAACAAAGTGATGTAGATGATCTGTTTGTTTTACAGTTAGGAAATCAGTTTAATTTTGACTACGTCTCACAATGTGACGGGGAATCCATCATCCACCTGTATGCTAAGGGCGGGATAGAATTCGCCGCTAAACACTTGGATGGAGTGTTCGCTTTCTGTCTACTGGACACGGTCAACCGGAGGGTCTACCTCGGTAGGGACACATTCGGAGTCAAGCCTCTTTTTCATGTTGTTACGGCAGCTGGTTCATTATCAGTGTGCTCTGAAGTAAAAGGTGAGTGGCTAAAGCAGAAAAGATATTGTATTCAAGACTAAATCTTAGTTCTATTTGTATTTATAGCACAAACTCACAATCCCATTCAGCATCAACACTCGTCATTGAGCTGAATTCGAACATGGAAGATAATTTTATCAAGTATTTCCTGGTGAGATCAGGATAGTAGTTATGCAATTCCATGAGGATACCAAACCATGTATACTTTTGGGTATAGATAACGTTATTGCAACATCGATGGTCATATGAAGACTAAAACGCTGAAAGACACCGTCGTAATAAGGAATGGGTAGGTAATTAAAGAGATACAGCTAGAGGACCAAATTTTAAAGTTTGGATAGCAGATCTGTTTCGTAGATAACACGAAACATTAAACAAAACCCCATCGATTCACCAGGATGGCATATATGCCGTTTCAGTGAGTAAGAGTTGTTCTTGAACTTTCAAGAGCATATGCCCAGCCTCTAGGTTTTGTTAGATAACATAATCTATTACAGAACTCTTGATAATCCAAACAACGTTGAGTAGTCCGTAACAGGCATATATCACAGGCAGAAGAAGGTTTAAACTGAAATAACGAATCTCGGACTAAGTGTAGTTGTATCATGTTGGTGTCCACCTGGTCCAGCTGATATTTGGAAAAAGTTTATCTAATGCTTCAACGTAAAGTAAATAGACATCTTTTACTGACTGAATGCTTCCCACGCTTTGTGTTGATTGGTCTATTTCTAGAATTCCACACGTGCATGACAGCGAAGGGATGAGATACATACTTATGATAATCAATTAAAACATATGCCCCAAACATCGTCTAAGCTGTGTGAGACGGATTCAAAATGGCTTTACATCTCATATAAATATGTACCATAAAGTTTCATCGCGGCCTTGGGTATTGGTTTCTTAACACATTAATACATATGACTTCAGTTTTTTGTGTAGGGGATAGGGCAGGACATCGAATTCCAGATTTTAAAGCATATTATTTGCGACTGCGAAGGAGTAGGGGTTATCGGTTGGTTGTGTAACGGGGATTTTTATAGTGATACTTGCAATAATATATATACAATTGCAGGTTTGGTGGATATGATTGGACACCAAGACAAGATTCAAGAGGTGTTACCTGGTCACGTGGAAACCTATAGCCTCGATATGCAATGCCGCGCTTCTTTGAAGCAGACCACAACTTTTCATCAAATAGGAGATTTTCCATGTTACGCTGCAACCTTTTCACCACTTGGTAAAATTGGTATAGTCATATCCGGTTCGATCAAAGACCATTTCATTTTCAATCTAGAGTGATGGCGATTTCAACAGGACATAACGTTTTAGACTTTCAGCACTGATTAATACATCTTTTTCGTGTTTTGATAAACAACCTCAAGCAACTCTTATGTAATATGCTTCTTTCTTGAGGGTAAGTTCTTCAACTTCCTGATTTAATTGTTCGCTATATTTTGCTACATAATTACTTCAGCTGTTTTGATCATGCAGAAAACGAAATCAAAGTCAACATCCGAACGTTTTTAAGGAGCGCTGTAGACAAGAGAATGATGTCTGACCGACGTATCGGATGTCTGTTGTCGGGTTTGTACTTCATTTCTATGTTTTACTCTCTCTTTTAAATAAGATTTCCATGATTCAAAGTTCTCAAACAATTGTTATCGTGTTTGTACTTGATATTCAAGGAAAAATTATTGAAACAAAACAAAATGAAACATTATACATTATCAGCAGTTTAAGTAATCCTTCCACGTATACAAATGATCGCATTTACTTTTAGGTGGCGTAGATTCCAGCTTGTTGACCGCATTGTTGGTAGAGTTAGCAAAGGAACGAAAGTTGCCTTACCCGATCCAGACCTTCTCAGTTGGTATGGAGAACAGCCCCGATTTGGCAGCAGCAAGGAAGGTAAGAAAATATGTATATGTAAGCAACTGTCTGATAAAAACACAAATATGTACATCTTTATATAGTTTAAACACACATATATATCATATATTTTTTTAATATAATTAAAAAGTCAAAATCAACACGGTAGTTCGCTAACGTGTTCAAGTCTAGCGGCCATCTTCAGGCGACTGAACACTACCAAATTGATTTATTCTTTTTTAGTATTTAACCAGAACACAACGTATTTACAGATAAAACCCGTATATATTGGAAAGTTAAAATTCGCAGTGTCTGGTACATATAAAATCGAATTGGAAACAATTTTATTAAAACTAATTGTAAAACATCTAATCCGTGTTATCATAGGCTGCTTAGTATTTCCGTGACTGGGTTTTTTCGGGAATGGTTCAAACCGATTCATTAGTGTTGTTGTTTGATAAGATTATGGTACAATACCCCTGTGAATGTTAGAATGGGAAAACATATGTATATTGAGCACATAATGTATTAAAGGAAGAGAAATCTGTCTGCGGTAACCGCATTGCAGAATGTAGCATCTACGTTTATTATATGTCAAAATTGTGACTAAAATCATTCTTCCAACCTCATTTGATTCGTTGTTTCTTCTAGTTAGCACGAGTCTAATGTACAGACAGTTCACCGACAACATGTATTGGGTATACAATAACATATTGTTAGTATTGATCAATGAAGATGTATATGGGAACATGGGTAAGAAAAAAGATAATTCCTTGGGGTAGGATAAGAAAATATCTGCACTTGGAGGAGATTCTGGACTATTACTGGTTAGCTAGGCCTATTTAACAGATAACGTCATTTGAAAATAGTTTTCAGGAGCCAATGCAATTTCTTTTTGAACAAAACAATTTTTAAATGCTTTTAATATAAATTGTATATAGGTTTCCAAACACTTGGGAACTGAGCATCACGAGATCCTGCTGACACCAATGGAGGCGATCTCCGTAATTGAAGACGTCATATATTTTTTGGAGAGCTATGACGTCATCACCATTCGTGGATCAGCTGGTAGGTCATTGCGATCGTCATTTTGATGACAAATTGTAAGTAATTGTGTAATTTATATCGTTAAAGGTAATAAGATATAAGTTAGTTTGAAAACGAGGAACTTCAAAGATACAAGTTTCGAGAGTTAGATACAGTAGAGCGAAGCAATAAACTAAACCGCATTGTACAGCTGTTTCGTCCTTCTAAGACTCGCCAGTGATGCTGCATCATACAGCTGTTTCATCAATCTAGGACTCGTCGGTGATGCTACATCATACAGCTGTTTCGCCCTTCTAAGATTCGTCATTGATGCTAATGCCTAAAGTTAAAGAAAACAACAACTGTCAAGTAACCCTATGCAAAACCAGAAAGAAGAATCGAAGACCTTGATGTGTAACAGATATAATATTATCAGATAAAACAACCTGCAGTGTAGTTACCATACAAGCCTAGAAAGTATTTAATCAAAAAGCCCGTTATAATTAAAATAACATAAAATACCGATATGTACACAAACAGCAAGAAAATACCAAAATGTCAACAAAAGCATAATCCAAACTCAACTTCAATAAAGGTAAGGGAAATATGAACAAAAGAAAGATTTACACAGTGAGTCCTGAAAAAGTGCAAGGAGAATAAGGCCAGTCCATCGACGAACCTACTGTGTAAATTTTCGTCAATCAAGATAAAAAATGTCACGTTCTCAAATGAGACGGAGGTATGCAACAACGAAATCAACAGGCAAATGAACGGGCATCAAACGAGTTCATCTCCATATCGCACTAAGAGATAGAATGTTTCTCAATGAGACCACTTTGACGACCACATAATTTTCACCAACCTGCATCTTTTGAATCCCTATTTTACGAAAATCCTGATAAAGGGAACAAGCCGTAGAATATCGAAACAATTGTGACATGTATACTCGTTATTCTCACCAGATAGAGATTCGCAGATTGTTAATCCTACAATGAAACCAACATGGACAGCTTTCTACAAAGCTGTATAATAATTTCCCAATTGTGAATGTTCTATTTCTGGATAGCAACGTTCAGGCCCTGCTTCAGTATCACAATATCAAGGTGTTGACTACTGACAAACTCACGGGGAGGTTTTACGGTTGATATATTGGGCGATATGAAGCTAGACGTGTTTGATGCTCGTTTGTTGTCCTGTTGTTGTATACTTTGTTCTCATTTGGGAATGCCACATTACTTACTTGGATTAACCAAGGTTTAGATGGAGGATGTCGTCGATGAATCAGAAGACGCTTAATCTTGCAGAACACCTGGTCTTATTCTCCATTGACGGAGTATCCGTTTAAGTCTATCATTTGTTCATATTTTACACTAGTTTTACTGAATTTTTCACATGTTATTTTCTTGTTGTTTTTGTATCTCCTTACGTATGTCATGTAAAATAATTACAAAAAAATATCAACCACACAGAGATTATTTTGCGGTTCAGTTTTTGTGAGCAGGTACTTATACAGATAATTTGAAGATAATTATTTCTTTCGTGATTTGAAGGACACGTCTTAAGTAAATGGACCGTTTATGCGAATTTTCGTGTAATATATATGCTAACAGTTCACTTTCATTCCTGTTTAAGCTTATAACAGTATTGAGATTGGTTTTGATTTAGTACATTTTATTGCTTTTTTCATATTTCTAATGTTCACTTTTCCCAAAGCTATGTACCTGCTTTGTAAATACGTGAAGGAGAAGACAGATTCTACGGTTTTATTGTCTGGAGAGGGGGCAGATGAGGTTGCCCAGGGGTATATCTACCTCCATAACGCGCCCTCTGTTGAGGAAGGCGACAAAGAGAGCAGACGCCTCTGTAAGGACATACATATGTTTGACGTCCAAAGGGTTGATAGAATGTCATCAGCTTTTGGGTGTGTGTGTTTTTCTATTGTTTTCATTTTTTAATATAATAAATCAAACGAAATTGGGTTTACTTACTTTAAGAGGCATTATCTCTTGATCAAAGTTTAAGTTGAATTATACAAAGAGAAAGTTTTTACTGGGCATCTTTCAATGCAACCAAACATGTTTTGATGTTAAATAAACCAATGCATTACATATATAGAAAATAACACATTTGTAAAATTAATTGTACAATTTAATTCTGAACTACGTTTCGAAAAGAAAAATGGGAATTAAACAAAAGCTACATGTATCTTTCCATTCAAGACTTGAAATACGCGTGCCCTATCTGGATCACACGTTCACAAGTTACTACCTTTCGTTAGACCCCGAAATAAGGGCTCCAAAGAATGGCATGGAAAAACAACTAATGCGTTCGACTTTCGAAGACACGGATTTGATACCGAATGAGATCTTATGGAGGCACAAAGAAGGTTTCAGTGACGGTCTGACTACCCTGAAAAAGTCCTGGTATGAAATCATACATGACTTCCTTGACGAAAATGTAAGTTTTGAGATGCTTCCTTATTTTTAAAATATGCAGAGCTGCATCATTCTTTTTTTTGTTTTTTTGGTCTATGTTTCTTAGCGAAAAGACACTATAACATGTTTGATAATGGAACGAGGACAGGAAAATGACGGAAACACCTTTCAGTGCAACATTTACAAAGTGATAGGTGTGTGAATGTTTAAAAAAAAGCATCTTTTTTGGTGTGTATCCAATACTTTTACTTCCTTGACAGTCGTTTTCTTTAAGACAATACGATTCATTTGGTATTTGGTCACTATTTTTTATCGTTACTTACATAAAAATCATATATTGACCCAAGTCAACCATCAACTGCCATCATACATATGTCGATATGTCTTTAGAACGATGTGGACATTACCAGGTATATCAACAAAATCTTTAGAGATGCATATATGATTTAAAAGTACATCCACAAAATAAACATATTTCTGACATAAAAATATATAAAACAACACTTAATTTACAAACAACAGAATGTTTAATTTTGCCAACAATTTTGTTAAACCTATAAAGTAATAATTAAAATTACAGTTTGTGGTTGATCTGAATGCAATCTGCTTTGAATGAATTTTTGATTTTGTTAAACCTTGACAGATCGACGATTCGGAACTCATAGAAAGCGTGTGCCAATATCCCTTTAACACCCCCGTCACTAAAGAGGCTCTGTATTACCGTAGGATATTTGAGAAATTCTACCCCGGACAGGATCATCTAACACCACACCAATGGACGGCCAAATGGTCATTGTCTACTGACCCCTCCGGAAGGACGTTAAGTCACTATAAACAGTAATTCATATACTGAAGCCTGTGATTAATTCTATGGTATATTGGGTTTGAAATTCAAAATAAAATAAAGAGTGTAAGAATTCTTCATTCACTGTCCTTGTCTTTTTTATAGAATATATGTGAAAGGAATATATTTGATCCAAAATTGTTTACAATAGAACATACAGAACTTCAGTTGAGGTCAATCTCCACTCCTTCCTTTTCGAAATAAACAACAATTACGATCTTATGTCTATACCACTCTCAAGGGGAACAATTCGTATCTTATTTTGACTCCATGTTATTTTTTCGTTCACTTTTCACACATTTTCCCAGTTTGACTGGAAAAATATCAGGGACATCATCATGAACGTTGACTAACATTCTATTAATTTATAAAATGAATGTTCTTTTAGTCATAAAGGAACCATCGAGGAGCGAAGTTCTTAATCGGCAAATGAAGGAAAGGGAATTTCTCATAAGGTTCCATAGGTTAAAATGAACCATATTCGAAGGACTTTGAAATTTGTCATGAATCTGAAACGGGAGACACCAAGAAAAGCGAGAGTGATATCTAGGGACACAGGAAACTTCTTGTATGGAGGAATTTTAACTTGAAACAGCGTGTCGAACGAAGGTCCGACTTCTCTATTGACGGGATGGAAAGCTTTAGATGTATTCTACTCAAGACCATTCTTTTACCTACATCATAGAGTTATTTGTAACATGGTGGTATTGTTATAATGGAAATGGGCATCTTTATTCCGAGAGTAAAGAAGTTAGATAAGTTAGTGGTATTTTTTCAAGAAGACATTATCAATCGAAAAAATATATACGCCGATAAATATCGAAAAGTTGCAGAGAATCTTTGTAAAATGAAATGTCATTTACCGTAAATGGTATGTATATTATTTTAAGCTCTTCACTGATGTAAATAATTGTGTAAATAAACACATTTTCACTATGTATTCATTGGTATCAAAACTCCCACACTATTCAGAGATATCCACCCAGTCCTTCTCAAGAAACAGCAATAACAAACTCTCATATGAAAAATCCAGGATGTCCGTGTACAGACATTTTTGTTTTCTGACCAGTCCTAAAATCACAATAGCACAACTAAGGCCCCTACAAATGAAATCTGAAAAAGGACCTAGAGAAGTTAAGTGAATAGCATCTTTTTATAACACGAGTCCGATACAGTAGAGGCAAGCAATGCATTAAACTGCATTATAAAGCTGTTTCGTCCTTCTAGGACTCGTCCGCGATGATAAGAACCTAAATTTTGAAGTCTATGAGGCGATTGAGGAAAATCCAAAAATATTTTGTTGGCATTGAAGACTTTATTTTCCTTCTGAGCTGATTTTGGAAGATCCTTTCGTTTACAACAAAATAAATATAGATTTTTAAAAGTGCATGCTTCATTTTTGTTTTCTTGTTCTGAAATAATCATCACAAAATATTTTACTTAAAAAAATATAGCCTCAAAAGCGGATTTGATCTATATCACAAAATACAGTGCAAGTCAGAATATTTTTCCACACTCCCGCTGTAGAAACCATGCTGTTCCGTGATTTCAGGGGGCGATCAACGCAAAACAATAATTTCTTCACCCCGTTTATTTTTACAATATTGAACTACTGAGTATATTGGGGATTTTGTTTAGGTTCGAAAATCATCTGATAGAATGACATTACAAATAAAAAATGTAATTAAGTGTATTTGATATTTTCAAATGGTGTTTGATCATAAGTTTCGACTTCAGTCGCTGTCTGCCATTACACCGGTGACATTTCACCTCCTGTCGAGAACGTAACCGCAACTACGTGTAAATTTGATATAGCTGGAAATGTTCTTCACATGTCTATCCTAAGATTAACACTAATTTAAGTTATTGACAAGTATTCAGATTAGAACAGCAAAAAACCCGTGTTCGAGCAATAACGGTCACGTGAAATTAACTTATAGAGGCGGGAGAAGTGGCTGCTGACAAAAAGATGCATGCCTTCGACATACTAGTTCAAGAATATGAATACTTAGAGCTTGTCATGTCAATTTTTTATTTTTCATAACAAATTAGAGTTACCCGCCCTTGTTATCCTGAGGCCGAGAGAAAAGAAAAACCTTTAAAACTCTTTACTATCTAGTATGAAAATAAAGTAATAACCACTCTACAGCATACAAAGAAGATACTGTTTGGTCATAAAAACATTTTCTGCAAACTTAAAATCATATTCTTTATACACGCTACTACACAAATGCCATTATTCCTAACCTATTGCTTATTGAAAAAAAAATTTTAATCTCAAATAACTTAACCCAAGAGATCTTTAACAAAGGCCAGGGTCTATTATTTGAAAACGATTGTCCTTCATCCACTAACATTGAAAAACCAGTTTCAACAGCCTTGACCTTTTTGTTTTGACAAGAAGTCATTAAAGATTTTAACAAATTTGGCCCTTGTGGCCTTTAAAATGTGAAAATATAAATAACATGAACATAATTGTTAATTCGTTCCAGCATACTATGGGCCGGTTATCAGAACTTTTAGGGTACTGAGAAGAAATCATTTAAAGATTATTAAACATTTATCTGTGACCTTGAAAATGGGTCAATGTCATTCATTTTATCAAACATTCTTGACAGCAATTTAACATACTGAGCATATTGAAATACTGCAAATTCATCCATCCTTGGTCGAGCCAATGGAAATATACTTGTTATCTACAAATAATATTGGCACATTTTTCTTCCTTTTGATTAAAAACTAATCACTGTTTCAATGCTTGCAAGTGATTTTTCATCAGAGACTAAATCCATGAAAGATACCATCTGCATTTGCTCTTTCTTGCTGTTTGAAAATACTTTAATCATTTATATTTTTGGTATCAACAACTTGAAAAATAAAAGTAACTCCATTGAATGTTGTTTGTGAATAAAAGTTCTCCACAAAATGGCGCTGTACATTATAAATTTATACAAAGCACTAATCCTGAATTTCTATACAAAACTGTACTATAATATATATATACACACCTTGATCCTAGTTTATTCGGGAATGTTGCATGAAGGAATGACAACGATACACAAGATGTTAAAAAATTATGATTTAAAACAAGTGGTCAAAATTAAGTATTAACAACATAAAGAGGCATGCTTTTCAACTGCCATATTTAATGCCTGTACCATGTTTGCAAATGTTACTTAAAAGTTGCTAATAAATGATTTCACATTAGATCTTAGATCAATCCATTGTTTACAAACTGCTCCACAACGATGAAAAGAACACCTATTTATTGCAGGTTTGTGACCCACAATAAGCTTTTCTACAAATTTGAACAGCAGAAATAGCATGAAACAATTATCCACAATTCTAAAGAGTTTTTTTCCAGTACATCTTCAATTTCTTTTCCAAATTTTTCCATCATTAACCTTGCTTAGGTCAAATGCTTTCCCACATTGATGTGATGTTGGCCGTATTTTTCTGTTTCTTGAAGAGCAGCAGACTTTCATTTTTTGTGGGCTTCGATATGTATTCATCATCAAATTTTTCGGCCATATCTAACACAGAAAAATCACATGGCTCATAGGCACCTACAATGTCAGGTGATGTGATATTGTGTAAATCCTCCTGGATAAGGTCTGTAATAAAGATATCTTCATATGATAATGGCCACTTCAGTCGTTTTATTTCTACTTAATTGTTTTAAACCAATATTGTTCATATAGTCATTTACAGTCCTTTAGCAATGTAAAAATATATAACAAAGATACTGGGGCTAGGTCATGAAGGTAAGAGGCAATTACTAAGCCTGGTGATAACAAAATAGTGTTTTAAGGTTATTCAGAAAAGATGATGGAGGTCCCAGAAAGAATCTGTTTTCATAAGAACTTGTGTACTTTTCATTACTAAAATATTTTAATCCACACTTTTAGTATAGTAGTAATGATTCTCTGGTGTGTCAGAGCAGCAAATAATACTAGGACTCAAGTTTGATGTACAGATAAAAAAAAGTTTTTGAAATATTCTTTGGATTAGTAATCTTGTTTTATTTATAAGTTGACTAGAAGCACCATCAATCTGATTCAAAGGAAACAAACCTTCTATTTGGATGTCTTGTAGGTATTTGTCCGAAACTCTCCCAGTCTTGTAGTAGTAGTATCTTGACTATTTGTGTTTTTTCTAAGACATCATCTTAAGCATAACAATGTTACACATTTATAAAAATCATATTTGAAATATAATCCCTATGATTGGTAGCACAGCACTTTATATTGTCAAAAGTAGAAGAATTATAGGATTTTTTTTTCAAAGAAAATAGAAGTTTATATATTATTTATCAAGCAATATTTTAACATCAATTTCAAAAGTCTTCCTGTAAAATATCTATGAATAAATTAATGCATTTGTTTTCACCTGATACCTGATATTTTTGTAACTAGCCAACTTTTTCGTGATGGTTTAAATGACATTTGTATCGGTGGAGTTTCACTTATTTTTTTTCTATTTTTTTTTTTTTTTTTTGAAATGATAAATATTGCCATCAACTTTTCTTGGCCAAAAGTATTGCATTTTATCAAACAAATTAAAATCACCTCAATTTTATCACACAAGAAAAAGTAGCATAAGTTGAAGCCTGTTTTTGTAGGGAAATTATGTAAATCCTATGCATCTAACAAGAACTAATATCACTATCTATGAGAAAATCTACAAAAAAAGGTATAAATCAGCCCCATGAAAAAGTAGTAGAACAAAATAGAATGAAAACCTGTATCACTTAATTTGACCAGATCACTTCACATTAAAACATTTCGTATGACTGAACCAAAATTTCCCATTGGAAACCTGAAGTGTGACATTTCCACCACTCTGCATAATGGTGAGATTTCAAAAACAGAATGGACAAATTTAAATGGACCACAGTCTTGGTATATTGGATGTATGAGCATCTTATTCTGTATTTCATGTTACCTGTAATGTATCTAATGATTGTCAAGTGAGTGGCCCATATGATTGATAATCCA